TGGTTGTGGGGCTAAGAGAAGTGATTTGAGCTCGCTGAGCCTTTGTCCTTGTCTGTAAAGTGGATCTAACCATAGCATCTACCTCAGAGCTGTTGTAAGGATAGCTTGAGAGGAATACACATAAAAGTTTAGTTGGTAAGTGCTCAAGGAACAGTGGGTTGCTGTGTTTCTTTTAAACTCATTTATTGTGCCATTAATGTTTATTGTTGTATTTGTGGGAATATAACATCAGGCCATAGAAACAGGTGATGAAGGCATGTGAGGAGCAGTGGGGACCACAGGAGCCTCAGAGAAGCCTCTGACCAAGCCTGGGGAGTGAGGGAAGGGGAATGAGGATATGTAGGTAGGCCAGGTGAAAACCAGAATGGGGGCGGGAAGCGGGGGGGCTATATAGTTGGAGTTTAAGCTTCAATTTCTCCATAAAATGGGGATACTGTCTGTCTTCTGGTGCTTGTGCAAATGTGAGGTGTAGCCAATATTGGGGATATAGTAGATGCTCAATAAATGACATGTTTAACAATATCTGCCTTTGCCAGGCCCTGCATTGGGCACTGGGGTTTCAGCCCTCTTGGAGCCCAGTGTCGGCCTTCTTAGAGCCGATGGAGTGGTGAGAGCCAGTCTGACAGTCACTGCATGCCAAGCACTAGGCAGCGTAGCGGTCCTGCCCTCTCCGAGCCCTCAATCTGATGGCAGGCGTTTAACTGTATGGTTACAACCTGCAGGGCCTGAGTGGCGATGGGGACCTGCAGGGGCAGGTGGGGTCTGAGAGGAGTCCTCTGACCAGCTTTGTCAGGCCCACTTCAGGAGCTGGGTCCTGAAGGGTGCTAGGGAGCCATGTGAGGTGCAGGGATAGAGCTGTCTGGAAGGGTTGGGCCCTGCTGATCCTCCCGGTCCCTGGCCCTGCAGAAATGCTTCGGGGACGAGTACTACGGCACAATGGAGGAGGAGAAGCCTCAATTTGAGGAAGAGGAAGGGTTCGAAGGTGAGGTCACTGGGCAGGGGTGGAGTGCTGGGCCTGAAGCCTGAGGTCCCAATCCTGAGCCCCCTGGGCTCATCCCTGTCTGTCCGTCGTCCGGAGCCAGATCACTGGAACTGGGACACGTGGACTGGGCTGGAGCAGGGTGGAGATTGGAGCCAGCAGGAGCTGCACTGCGAGGACCCAGACTTCAATGTAGGTGCCATGGGGAAGGGGGGTGGGCTGCCTTGGAAAGTCCCAAGGGCTGCGAGGGCTGGCCTGACCTGCATGTCTTGGCAGATGGATGCTGACTATGACCCCAGCCAGCCGCAGAAGAAGCAGCGTGAGGCCCCCTTAACGGGCAAGAAGAAGCGCAAGTCACCCTTTGCTGCAGCTGTGGGGCAGGAGAAACCTGTGTTCAACCCCAGTGAGGCTCTGGTGGGCATTCCGTGGGCGAGCAGGGGCTCCGCAGGGCCAGCACACACAGCAGCCCAGTTCTCTACCCACACAGGGGACAAGACCTTTGAGGAGTACCTGGACGAGTATTACCGGTTGGACTATGAGGACATCATCGACGACCTACCCTGTCGCTTCAAGTACCGCACTGTCGTGCCCTGTGACTTCGGGCTCAGCACAGAAGAGGTAGGGCCCCAGGCGGGTGCGGGACACTGGGAGGCACCCAGGAGGCAAGAGGGAGCTCAGAGCCAGTGGTTGGTTTCCTCATGTCAAAAATGATAGGACTACCCTGGCCAGGTGGCTCAGTTGGTTAGAGCATTGTTGATACACCAGGGTTGCGGGTTCGATCCCTGGTCAGGGCATATACAAGAATCAACCAGTGACTGCATGAATAAATGGAACAAGTAGATGTTTCTCTCTCTCTCTCTCAATTCCCTAAGTTAAAAATATACAGGAATAATAGTGCTAATGACAGGACTGAAATTTCCTACCTCAGAGGGTTTCCATGAGATGGGGAGGGGCTTCAAACAGCCCCTTATAAATATTACAGTTGACCCTTAAACAACTGCTGGCCCCTGTGCAGTCAAAAATATGCCTATAATTTTTGATTCCCCCAAAACTCAACTATAGTTGGCCCTTCATAGCTGTGGGTTTCACATCTATGGATTCAACCTTTGCAGATGCAGGCTGACTATATTAATAGCCTATTGTTGACTGGGAGCCTTACTGATTCCATAAGCAGTTGATTAACTTATATTTGTATATTATACACATTATGTACTGTATTCTTACAATAAAGTAAATGGGGGGGAAAATGTTAAAAAAATTATAAATATTTGACAAAAACCTGCATATAAATGGACCCGTGCAGTTCAAACCCATGTTGTTCAGGGGTCAACTGTACCTTTAATTATGTTACTATTCTTTGTGCAGCAGGGTGGCCTTTAAGACTAGATGGGCTCTGGAACCAGATGCCCTGGATTCAAATCCTGCCTTAGCCACTCATCAGCTGTGTGACCTTGGATTTGGGCTCTGTACCTGTTTCCCATCTATAAAACAGGCCTAATGACAGCCCCTACCTCATGTCCCTGAAGCTGAAACGATGTGTGGCTCTTTATTTTATTTTTAATATATATATATATTTTAAAATATATATTTATTTCAGAGAGGAAGGGAGAGGGAGACAGAAACATTACTTATGAGAGAATCATTGATCGGCTGCTTCCTGCACGCCCCCTACTGGGGATTGAGCCTGCAACTCAGGCATGTGCCCTGACTGGAATTGAATTGTGACCTCCTGGTTTATAGGTCGACACTCAACTGCTGAGCCACACTGGTCTCACCCATGTGTGACTCTTTAGATGGCACTTGTCCCTTAGCTATCCGTGATGGCTGTCAGTGCTTGACTATTCATGGTCAGTAAAAATAGCTGATGTCGCCCAGCTGGTGTGGCTCAGTGATTGAACATGGACCTATGAACCAGGAGGTCATGGTTCAATTCCAGGTCAGGGCACAGGCCCTGGTTTTGGGCTGGATCCTCAGTAGGGGGCATGCAGGAGGCAGCCAATCAATAATTATCTCTCATCATTGATGTTTCGATCTCCCTCACCCTCTCTGAAATCAATAAAAATATATTAAAAAAACAACTGATGTCTATTGAGCTTATACCATCTGCATTTACTCAATCTTCTCAACAACCTTCTAATAGGTTCTGAGGGGATGCCCACCTCATAAATGAGGAATCTGAAGCCTGGAGGCAGGAGCCTGGAGGTTGAGAACCTGGGCCTTACCGATAATTAGCAAATCTAGTGCTTGGCATAGAGGTCCCTGCCCTGAGGCTGCTGGGACCATGGTGCATGGGTGAGGGCTACAGGGCCCTGGAATCCTAAATCAGCCACTTCCTGGCTGTATGACTTGGGGCAAGGAACCCCTTTCTGAACCTGTTTCCCTATCTGTTGTCCTCTGCAAAAAACATTAGCCTCCACAGACATCAGTTCTCTCCCACCATCATGACATCCCTGCTGGGTGGTACTAGCATTACCCTGCTTTGACTAATGAGGTGACTAAGGCTTAGAGTCAGAGCCCCCCCAGGGCTCACGCAGCAGGACCCCTCTCCCTTCCCATGCAGATCCTTGCTGCTGACGACAAGGAGCTGAACCGGTGGTGCTCCCTGAAGAAGACCTGCATGTATAGGTGACGGGTCGGGCTGGGCCACGTGTTTGGGAGGAGGGGCAGACAGGCAAGCATGGACATCTCCCTGAGCACCCAATGACACGCGTGTCCGCTGGGCACCCAAAGGTCGGAGCAGGAGGAGCTGCAGGACAAGAAGGCGTACAGCCAGAAGGCCCAGAACTCATGGAAAAAGAGGCAGATCTTCAAATCGCTCTGCCCAGAGGAGTGAGTGTTGCTTGCCCGGGGAGGGTGGGGTGTCAGGCCAGGGTTTGAGTCTCACTCTGTCAGCCATTTGTTGCATGACTTTGGGACTGGGCCCTCCCCCTCTCTGAGACCTGGGTTCAAATCCTGGCTGGGCTACAGCTATATAACCTTGGGCAAGTCATTTTCCCTCAGCCTGTTTCCTCATTTATAAAATGGGGATAAAGATGGCTCATTTCTTGTTGGGTTTTTTTTTGAGGATTAAGTGAATTTATGTGAAGTGCTTAAAACATAGTAAGTGCCGATAGGTTTTAGCTATTGTTATCATGTTATTTCTTGGTCTATACAGCAGGGAGCAGGGGTGACAGGAATTCCCAGAGTTGATTTAAAGATAAAATGAGTTAATTTATGTGAATAGCTTAGTGTAAGCCCAGGCTCAAATACAAGAATTATCAGCAACACAGTCCAGCTTCAGGATTCAGTAGAAAAACGCAGTTTTGGTGTCGGACCCCAGTATGAATTCCAGGCAGGCACCTGAATTGCTGCGTTGCCATCTATCTGAGCCTCTCCTCTCCTGTAAAATGGGGATGCACACTGGGAAGGGGTCTAATTGTGCTGGCCTGGGCTGAGCCCTGACTTTCTTCCCCCAGGAAAGAGACACCCACGGAAGCCACAGGGAAGCCACAGAGGGACAAAGCCGGCCCACAGGGGCAGCTGCTGGCATCTGATGGGGCCTGCAGGAAGCAGCCCCAGCCTGAGAGCCCCCTAGCACAGAAAGAGGCCGCCCCTGTGTCACCCACAGAGAAGCCAGCCCTCCAGAGGCGGAGGAGGGGCAAGAAGGCTCGACTCCTGGGCCCCACAGTGACGCTTGGAGGACAGGAGTTCAGCCGCCAGAGACTGCAGGCCTTCGGCCTCAATCCAAAAAGGCTGCACTTCCGCCTGCTGGCCCGGAAAAGGAGGAAGCAGCAGGGGCTCAAGAGCTGCCCCTGAGCTCGATGGAGAAGGCAAGGGCCCTCAGATTCTCTCCCTTCAAGCAGGCCCCTGAATGCATCCCCTCTTATTGACTGTACAGACCCACGTGTCTCCCTGTGGGCAAGGGAGAAGTCCCTTACAGATGTGGAAGCTGAGTCTACTCCAGCTCCCCAGGAGACGTGGACATATCTCATCTTGACATACCCCCTGGTCCCATCTCTCAAATGCTCTGTCTGGCCATAGCTGAGGTCAAGTCAGACGGCTTTATTGGCCCCAGGCAGCCAGTTCCCACACTGCCACCAGCCCTTAGCAGGACAGGAGCTTTGAGGCCAGTGAGGGCACGAGCAGTCCAGTGCAAACTACAGTACTTGAGTCAGGCCCTGAGTGGGTGCCTGGGAGTCCATCTGCCATCCCTCCCTCCTCGCCCTGTGAGGAGGGCCCAAGTGGCAGGAGGCAGGCCTTTGGGCTCTGTCCCTGGCTTAATGGCTCCAGCCTGGAGGTTTCCTGGGCTGGTCTCAGCTGCGCTTAAGGGGGTGAGAAGTGGAAAGTACCATCACCACCAGAGGTCAAGCTCTCACATCCAGTGTGACATAAATAAAAAAATAAATAGTGTTTGTCCTATCTTCTCCCCCATCCCATCCCTTTATAAAAACACAAAGTCCTCAGAGCTGGGGCGCTTCGCCTTGAGGAGCCGCCCAGTGCGAGGGAGCTGCAGAGTTGGCTGGGAGCCGAGGTTGTCTAGGCTGTGGTCCTGAGCATGGCCCTCGGCCAGGGTGAACATGGGGTACCGCTGTGTGGCCGCGGAGGAGCTGAGGACCTGGTGGGAGGAGGGAGAAAGCAGCTCAGTACCAAAAGCAGTCGCCAGTTACCCCGAAGGCACAGTTATTCTAACAGGTATATTTAAAAGGTGCTTCCTGAACTCCACTCCCATCCCTCCAGGGCAGTGACCCAGGCCAGTCAATCAGCACCTCCTACTCCCCAGGACAGTGATGGACTCTGATCGGCATGTGCCCCAATGCAGACAATGAAAGGCAGCCCTGGGATTTCACTCTGCTGGGAGAGTAGGGTTCCCTTCCCACGAACTGGGAGGTAGGTGCCCAGAGTGGCTGACAGCTGACACTTGCCACAATAAGGGTAAAGCCTTGATGGGATGGACAGTAGAGCCAAGAGACAGGGAGGGTCCTGTCCTTGAGCTCCTGAATGCCGCTGTCCTCCAAGGCAGCAAAGCCCCTAACTTTTCATATTCCCCTTTTGGGTCTATTCAAAGCTGGGCTTTTGTAACATGGACAGGATGATAACCTTGACAACACAGCCTGGAAGTAACCTCCCCAGGTCTGGAGGCCTCTGTCCCTTCTCCCCTCCAGCCCTGACTCTCCCACACCCTACACCACTCCTCTTGCTCACCCTGGTCAGCTCTGAGCACAGTGTCTCAAACTCCTTCCTGTTTCCAGCATAGAACCCCACCGTACAGCTGGGGTCCATCTTGGTGAAGGCCATCTTGCGGGGTGAGGTGCAATGAAAGGACTGAGGCAGACAAAGAGGGGGAGCTCACGGGGGGCCCCAACTTCCTCCACATGCCCCCAACCTCACTCTGGGGATACCAGCTCACCTCCAGGGGGAAGTCAGCCTGGCTGACATCCACAGTGGGCTGGCAGTAGTGGGGGTCCAGGTAGAGCAGGGAGTCATCTGCAGGGGAGGAAGTGTAAGTGGGGGTGGGGAAAGGGGAGGTGAGGTAGGATGGAATGTGATGGAGCAGGCCTACCCTGGTAGCCGATGAAATACAGCGAGTGCCGCGGCTTGCCCCCCATAATGCCCAGGCACAGCTCTGAACGCAGGAGCTCCTACAGGGAGGAGAGTGGGCAAAGGTGAGAACTCAGGGCAGGTGCTGTCAGTCAGTCTGTCAAGAAATACTTAGCAAACACCCAATGTGTGTGAACCTAGGCGTGTGCTGGGCCCTGGGGAGCAGCAGTGACTAAGGTACTATCTATGGAGCTGACATATGTTAGACAAGGAACAAGATGAGTGAGTTATGTGTTGGAAAGTGACTACACTGGGGAAAGAAGAAAGGAGGTAAGGGAGCCTTGAAATTATAAATAGAGGAGTCAGGAAAGGCCTCACTGGGAGGTGATGTTTCAGCATCTTGGGGAAACAGCAAGTGCAAAGGCCCTGAGGCAGGTGTGTTCTAAGGACAGTAAGGAGGCCCGTGTGGGTGCCTCGGAGTGAGTGAGGAGAGTGGGAGCAGATGAGGTGAAGGAAGAGACAGGGTCCAGGGTCCTGTGGGCTGTGGGGAGAGCTCTGGCCTTTATTCTGAGTGTAAACACACCAGGGTCTTTCCAGCCTTACTGTTCCCTTTGCCTGGAACACTCCTCCTCTGGCTCTTCATGTGCCCTGGCAAGAGAGGGGCTTTCCTCGGTTGTGCAGCCACCCCCATCTGCCCTTCATCACTAGTTTTCGTTCCTTTACAGTCCGAGTTGTAACTCCCAGGCTGTCTACTTGGTTCCAGATTCACTGCCTGTCATTAGAATGTTCACCCCACAAAAGGCACAAATTTTTGCCTGTTTACGTCTGAATCCTCAGCAGCTGAGAGAGCACTTGGCACATAATAGGTGCCCTGTGACTATTGGATAAACAGATGAAGGAAGCATACATACCTAACCCAAACTGAAAGAACCCAGAGGGCTTCCGGGGGAGACGTGGTGAATCTGGCTGAACCTACCTTCACGCAGGGCACATACACGGGATTGAGGGTCTCCCCACCCAGCCGCACAGGCACCAGGATGACCACAGACTTCCACTCCGCTGTGCAGTCCGGCCGAGCCACCAGGCGGGCCACATCTGCTTTGTACACTGGAAGGGCAGAGAAGGTCATCTTCTTGCTAACCTTCAAGCTTCAGAGTGTGACCCTCCAACCCCAGGGTCCAATCTCATCCAAGCAACCCCTTGGGGGGTGACATTCCCATTGTCAGTGGAGAAGGAAGTATTCCCAGAACCCCCAAACTCCCCTAGACAATCCCAGGGCCCCCATTTCACAGAGAGCAACCAAGACCCTAAGAGTCGGATAAAGAACGTACTGCCAGGAGGAGGTGGAGCCTTCCCCAAAGCCTGGAGCCTACCCCCAATCCCAGGCCCCACAGGTCCTCACTGACTCGGTTTCTGGGTTTGCCGATACGGAAATGGGAGCACAGCGCAGTCCTCAACCAATGTCCCTGTGTGTCCCTCCTCCTCAGTCTCATCTGCAGCTGTCCATTCTCCTCCTCCTTCCTTGCTGGTACCCAGAGAAGTGGATCCAACCCTTTCTGGAGACACAGCTGCTATGATCTGAATGCTTGAGTCCCCCAAAATTTGTATGTAGCAATCCTAATCCCAAGGTGATAGCCTTTGAGAGGTGATTATGTCATTTGAGGCTGGACCCCTCAAGAATGGGATAAGTGCTCTTATAAAAGTACCCCCCCAATTTTTAAAAACTATGTATATTGACAGATGTTAACTAGATTTAGTGTGGTAATCATTTCACAATGTTCAGGGTGGGGCAACAGTAGGTATACAGTCATGAGTATATGAAAAAGAGCTTACTCTTGTACTATTATTAATTGCATTATTTTCCATACGAACAACTGTAAACTTTTGCCCCACCCTGTATACAAATATCAAATCATGATATTATATACCTGAAACTAATATATTGTTATAGGTCAGTTATACCTGAACGGAAAAACGAAACAAAAATGAGACCCCAGAGAGCTTGCTTGCCCAATCTGACGTGAGCACACAGCAAAGCAAGCCAGGGAATGGGCTCCCACTGACACCAAATCTGTCTGCATCTTGATCTTGGACTTTCGAGCCTGAGAATTATGAAAAATAAATTCCTGTTGTTTATAAGCCACCTGGTCTGTGCTATTTTTGTTGTAGCAGCCTAAACAGATTAAGACACTAGCTCTCTGTTAAAATCGAACCTTGTCCCAAACCCCTACAATTTTCATAAAAATTTAGTTTTTGTAGCTTCCCTGATACCAATTCTTTTATTTTTAAAAATATTTTTATTGATATCAGAGAGGAAGGGAGAGGGAGAGAGAGATAGAAACATCAATGATGAAGAGAATCATTGATCGGCTGCCTCATGCACGCCCCCTACTGGGCATCGAGCCCACACCTGGACCTGTGCCCTTGACCAGAATCGAACCTGGGACCTTTCAGTCTGTTCGCTGACGCTCTATCCACTGAGCCAAACCAGCTAGGGCTCACTTAGTTCTTATAACAACACTACAAGGCAGAGAAGACCAGACTTTTGTACATGTTAGAGCTGTTTACAGAAAGAGTTAATTGGATCTCAGAGAAATAAGTCCTTAAGTCCTTTATTCTATCCTTGTGGAGAAGCCCCTGAAGCTTGCTCTCCTGGATCTAGAGGCAGTAGAGGGATCCTGAGCATCTGTCCTGAGTAGGCCTTGAATCCTTTCCAAGGGTCCCTCTGACCCAGAACTTGTTTCAGCCTCTGAGAAAGGCGGGTCCTCAGAGGCAGCCGCAGTAGTGACTGGCTCTGGATGAGAACCCCATGACCTTGGTTAGCAGCCCCTTACCTGTGCAATCCTGAGACACGTACACCACCAGGCGGGTGACCTCTGAGCAGCTCTCCACAGCTTTCCTGGGGGCCGGAAGAAAGGCTTGAGTTCCTTGGGGTACCCAGTGGCTCCCATGTCCCCTGCCGTGGTCCTCACCTGAGTATATGTGCCACAAGAGATGGCCCATACCAGTCACCTGCCTTCTTGCCCCAGCTCTGTCCGAGCTCCACCAGCTGGTGTAGGCCGAAGGGGGCCTGGGGGTGGTCAGCGAACCAGGACACAATCTGCCGATGCCAGCGTTCCTGCTCCACCTCAGGGGCGCCCTGGGCCCAGCGTGGGGGCTTCCAGTGGGCAAGCCCATGGTGCCGGTTGGGAGAGGCCAACCCTGACGGCTCAGGGGGGCTCAGGCCTGCACCCTCCGCCCATGTCCAATCTGGTGGGATGGAATCGATAGTCAACCAATGCCAGTGTGTGGGGGTCACAGTTCCCATTTACTCATGCTTTACACCCAATTCTAATGCCCCTGAGACTGCAGGTTTAACAATTCTCACATTCCTGAAACATAAACAACTCTAACTCCCCCTGGGGCAAAACTTACTTCCTAGCCGTGACTTTAAACTTTATTTACAAACAATTCTCACCCTGCTGACTTATGCGGTTGGCTCATAGCCTGGTGTGTCCTGCCCCCTCCGCCTCTCACCTCTGGGCAGGAAATGCAGCAGGAGGCCCTGTGCCAGCATCATCTGCCCACTTCGCAACATGCAGCCCCAGCCACAGTCTGAGGTCAGGCAGCCCCCAGCCAAGGGCGGGAAGTCCCGGCGGTAGGTGAGCCACAGGCGGGAGGCGAAGTCCCGCTGGAAACGCTGGATGTCACCTATGAGAGCAGGTGTGTCAGCGGCCACACAA